TAATTTTCAGTGGAAGAAATTCTTAGCCCATTAGAGATAGGATACTAAAACAGACTTATGGCTTGCGAAATGTTTCAGATTTACACGGAAATAATTGAAACAGTTTCAATAGTTCCCTGTAGTCGCTACTGCTCAGCAATACGCGAAGAAATCTCTGCCAAGCTTGCATTTGAGAGATCAGCAACAAACTGCTTTATTATATCTTCCACATGTAATCCACAGTGGTTGTACAGGACGACCTTAGCAAGCGTCTGATGAAGCCACTGAAGTGCGCAGTGAGGTAGTGATGATATACAATACTGAGGAAAAATTTAAACTCACGGTTAGTCCATTCTTGAAGTTTTCGCCCTAGTCAAACATATTCATTCAGTCAGAAATGAGGTTCAACGGGAAGGTCTAATTCGTTCAGTCACATTATGGATTGAGGTTTACCGAAAGCTTCAAGACGTGCGTTTTCGTTCGTATGTCGTCTAAAACGACGTACCGGCGCTACAGCGTTACTGGTCGATGCTGGGTGATTTTGCTAATGAGCGACTCTTAGACACCGAACGATCGAGTATACGCTGAAAATGAGCGGCGACGACGCCAGGTCTAGCAAAAGCTGCATGGTGCTTGGCAATGGAAACGAGTCTTGCGAGCGGTACAACCGGGCGACGGCAGGCAGGGGGCGCCGATGGCCTCCTTCGATGCACTGCCACCCGGGCATGTACCTGAACAAAACGTTGGGCTTCTGCATGCCGTGTCCACATGGCACGTACCAGCCGGTGAAGAATGCGCTCAACTGTCTGCGATGTCCGGGCCAGGTAGAAACAACGAAGCCATTTTCAGCGGCCAAGAGCATACAGGAATGTAACGGTAAGGGCGATCGACATCGGTCAACGTCCGTCACGGTGACCCCGACGTGTTTCGTTTTTTCTTTCAGCCATGTGCAAGCCTGGATACATTTCGCCCAGTGGAATAACGCCTTGCACGCCCTGTCCGTTCGGAACGTTTCAGGCAGAGCCGGGTCGAACCAACTGCGTGTCCTGTGGCAGAAACTACACGACGGCCGTGTCGGCGTCCACGACTTTCGCTGACTGTCTGACCGAAGGTAACGCAAATTCGCAAATTCGTACAGATGGGTCAAATCAGCTCAGTTACTGTAAAAGGTACGTAAAAGCAATAAACGGTTCCATTTACGGCCATATGGTTTACACCGTTAGCCCACGCCAGGACCTGTCGAGATTTCAGACTTATGGACCAAAATTGACTTTGAGACTTCTCTGCACTTTAAGAAATGATATGCGACAGGTGTAAACTGTTAATCTTCCTTTATCAGAAGCTGTTACAAGTCATTGCACAAGTCGAAACTGCTTTATTACGTCTGTTTTGCTAGATTTTGACGAATACAATTGTAAAAAATATTACTTTCTTCGTTTGTTCACATCCATAGCAAGAAATTGTTTTTTAATATCTTTGTCTGAGGTGTGAGAATACGGCTGGAGCTTAAGAAACACTTTTTCAGGGACTAAATGGAAGCTTGCAACCAGTTCCTCCATCCGCCCTTTTTTTCCGACCGGAACTGGAAGCTTCGTCAATCGCAGTTACCTGAGTCTCGCTAGGTTGGAATTGGATGTGTGAAGGGGGGCTGACGCAACCGGGAAAGATTTTCTTTTGTGGACAGAACCGTAGACGGCTGAAGCAGCGAAGGTTCGAATGACCACTAGGAACCGAACTGACCATCCAAGCCCTGAAAAACGGTCGTAATTTCAATAGCGGAAATGCCCCAGTGGCCAATCGACACCGCGACTAAACGAAGCATGTCACTTTGCATCCAGCCGAAAAGAAACTGTAATGATTCAGTTAGATTTTTGGATATTTCCGTGGCATGGAAGATTATTAAATACCGTTTATGCCATGGTGATGATCTATTCCAGTTGGGTATTAACGTCGGATCGCTGGTGAACAATTGTTTCTTGATTTTCATGCTGCTAACCATAGAATCCGAAGACGCGTCTGCTTTCTTCTATTTCTTCCTCATTTAAGATTTCCGTTTTCGTCGTCTTCTTCTACCCGTTATTGTTCATCCTCTTCAGATGATTCCGTATTGAGCTTTTCTGCAATCATACAAGACAGCAGGTTTATTATTACGCTGAGATGTAAACTTAGAAACAGTCTTAGTCTTGAACGTAAGTTTAGGCCTGGGATTGACCTCAGACCAACTTCTAGGCTTCGGCGTAGGCTTAGACTTAGTCTTAAACTTAGGCATGAGATCATCAATTTGTGTAGGCTTATATCACGAAAGCCTTGTCACAATCTTCGTCATATTCGCAAGTTTAGGTTAAGGTTTAATTTTAAACTGTTAGCTAGGCTTGAATTAGACGTAGCCTAAGGACAGAGCTCTAGCTTATTCTAAATGTTAACTTCAAGCGTTGCTTCAGGCTTATTAAGCGATATAATTGACTAGATATTAACCGGTTGTGCCCCTGCTGTAACAAAATAACTGTTCATAGGGTATACAGTTGGAAATCATCACAGAATATCGTCATGTAGAAGGTGTTTGCCATGGTATTCAGCTGACATCAAACTCTTCATGAAGGCGAATTGACCACTTAGCACCACCAATCGTCGTCTTAATGACACGATTGGTGCTCATTTTCTACAGACCCCTGTTTTGGTCAGCTTCTTCATGAATTTTGCTTAG